GGAGTTAAGCTGGGACAGGCACCCAGCAGAGCTGGCCAGACTCACGCCTGCAGGGGAACTGGTTCCTCTTTAAGAACAGGAGTTGATAGGGAAAGAATGTCGCTGTGGGAGACCTCAAAAAGAATACATGAAGCAAGGGAAAGAACACTGGGGAATAAATCACTGTCCAGTCTGGCTCCTAGCATGGGACCTTGAAAAGTCACTGCCCCTCTCTAGATCATAAGTCAATTCGTTACTTTTATAAAAGTAAGTATCTGAGTCTTATGGTCTTCAAGTTTTCAATTAGACCCAAATTTGATTTTTCTCCATTCCATGGGAAAAGAACATTCTCCTTCACCAATCCATCCTCATGACTACAGAGGAAATAAAAGAGAGGTTCTGAACTCAAATGCCTACAGAGGCCAAGTGGGTAATATGAAAGAATGAGGTTGTGGGTTAGGGCTATAACAAACACAAGATCCCATAAAGGGGCAGCTGCTGTTCAACTCAGAGAGCTGTCACCCTTAGATAAGATAATACAATTTTTTGAGGAAAAATAAATCCAGACTTTTATAATGTAGTTTGTTGACTATTTAGTCTTGGCAATAAATTCTTTTTTAAAAAAATGAAGGCAACTCTGCATATGAAGCAAAATTTTAATCCCATGGCCAGACACAGTCTACAGACCTATAGCTCACTAGTTTATAATCACTGGCATAGAGGATATTATTATATCTTATTTAAGTAGCCTTGGTGACATGGTGGGTTACATGTTGAGCTATTAACGACAAGGTCAGCAGTTTGCATCCACCAGCCACTCTGCAGGAGAAAGATTAGGCTTTCTGCTCCCATAAAGATTTATAGATGTGGAGACCTAAATAGAGTTGCTGTGCATTGGAACCAATGCAACACATAAATGACCCAAACCACCACCAAGTTTATGACTTTTAATTGAGTCTTTTCAGTAGGATGATCATTTACTTTGATCTTAAGTTTCAGATTCACTGTACAGAAGCAGTTTCTGGACTCTTAGGTAAGAACTAGAGCCACATCTTGGGTTTGTAGACTTGTTGCCTCTTGATGCCCTCGGTGCCCTCTCTTTCAATCTGGCCCTCGGTGCAGCAATGGTCATGGCACCTTCAGGAAGGTACTGAAGCTCAAAAGCTAGAAACCATCCCAGTTTTTCCCATATCATCTCCTCCATTATTTTCAAACTGAGAAGTGGTCCCCAAGATAAACTACAACCAAGCAGCGGATGTGGCGAGCAGCAACCAAAGATGGGGCCAGTTAGAGGGACAATTGTAGCAGTTCAAGTCACTGCCCGTTGACACTCCCACCTCCAGTAGTCAGAGGATAGGAAGTGTGATCACTGACAAGATTAAGGCCATGTGAATATCCTCATATGGATCCAATTCCTGAGCCGAATGAACTTTGCCCAGTTGTTCCTGTGCAAAACAGGAGACTCTCGGTTCATGGTTTCTTATTTGACTAACTGTGGTTTTAAGATACAAAACATACTCAGGCCTTATATCAAACACATTTATTCTTAAAGTGAGTAGCTCAGAGAGGACAGCTATAGGAGGGTGGAGTATTTACAGTAAAAAGATTGTGGGTGCTAGCCAAACTTCAAATACTGTCATAGCAGGGTTATTCCAATAGTAGTTTTATAGCATGGCAGATCACACGTGTTAAAATTAACTGCATTCTCCAAACACCTTTCAATGGATGTGTACAATGATTGAAAACATTTCCAGACTCCTCTACTTAAGGACAAAGGGATTTTGCAAACTGGATTTACAAACACTCCAAAGCCAGTATATTACAACACACCCAAAACCATGCACATCCATTAAAAATGGAAATATTTTGTCTTCAATGAAATTAAGTAGACAATCAAGGTAAACAGGCAAGAGATAGTTTACTACACTTATGTGTAAGGCACTGAATTCTTGCATACAGAATCCTAGTGTCAGCCTTCATTTCAAACATGACATAGAAAACATGTGGCAGAAAAATGAGTTACCTTCAATATGAAGGATGCAAGTTACATATACTGACAACACTCTCAAAGAGACAGCAGTATTGCAGGAGGAATGCCAGTCTTTCAGGGTGGGCCTTCTTGGGAGTCCAAGAACTCCTAGGCTATCAGATGCCCATTCATATATTTGGGTTAAGCAACTCCAATATTCCGGTGTAATCAAGGCACTTGTAAAAAAACTACCTTTGACATGACAACAGAGGCCCTAGCAGTTGTTAGCCATTGATGATGGCATGGTCTTTGGTTATACTGAGAACCCAAGCATAATGCCTTGATTACAAACAAGGTCAATTGTAACTTGAGGATTGTAAACCCAGATTTGCTTAAACTTTGCCCAAATCACATTTCTTTTCTTTATAAATCGCATTTGAACAGAATAGCTTCACTTGAGATCTCGATTCTCCTGTTATAATTTACCTTTCCCCAACACCATTTCACACCCTCAAAGTTTATATTTTTCTCCACGAGAACATATACAGATCTTTTATCCCCTCTAGAAATCATTTTCCCAGGAGAGAATTGAAAAACCAACTTAAAAAACACAAAATAACCTTACATTCTCTCACCAACCAAATTATCAGGCCTCTCACTCCCACTGTGACTTAGCTGCAGAGCCTCTCTATATACATTCCAGACATCCCTCATACCAGTAAGCACAGCTTTCCATTACCATCAACTGTCCTTCCTCAGCCTTCTCTTACCCAATGTGAAAGCTACTGAATTGAGGTATTACTTTTATAAAGGTACTTATGAAGGCATTTAAAAGGTATTACTTTTATAAAAATAGGTCTCAGGCTGTTACTTAATCCTCCAAAGCAAAATTGGGCTGTGTCATCTCTATTGGCCCAAAATCTAAATTCTCAAGTGGCTATCTTCTTTTGTAGCCAGGTCTTAAAAGGTCAAACCTAAACCTACTGAAGGAAAATAGCAAAGACTTCCCAATATAGAACAATACAGTCCTAGAATTACATTGGGAAATGCGACAGATCAAGACCAGTCACTAGGTTAATTCATCGATAAGAGGCCAAGTTCTCCAGTCTCCCCCAGCTCTGCCATTCTGGGAAGAACCCACTAGCCAGCCTTGGACTGCCAAAGATTGTTGACTCCAACTCAGTTTTGGGGGGCGCATGGTGAAATACACAGTCCTTGGATGCCATCTGTGTCTGTACCCCATCAGGTTTCCATTGCACATGGACAATTCTATAATTCTGACCCTCGTTGTTGTCCCAGAAGATCTGCCCATTGGCATGGTAAGAAATGCAGAACTCAATTTTCTCCTCTGTTGGAATGACTTGGGGTAAATCGATAGCAAATGAGAAGGTGTCGCTATCTGAGCCACCATACACATTTTTCATGTAGATACAGTCTACATCAGTGTAGTTTTTCCAAGTATCAAAAGTGATACGGACTTGAACCTTCTTCTCAAAGCTCACATTTTTTACCTTCACAGTCCCAGTCAATGTTCGCTCTTGCAAAGAGCAGTTCTCCAAACAGACCAAGTTTTTCTGAAAGCGCTTCCGGAAACTTAAGTAGTCAGATGAAGGCTGTGGAAAATCTAAAATCAAGTTTTTCTCTTCATGGAGTTTTAAACTGGAGGAGATCTCATTAAGGTCCAAGAGATCAAACTGGAGATCCCATGCTGGTTCTTCTGGGAGGTCGGAGAAGACATGGATGGCAGTGAGAGCAAGGCCCTTGGAGTCAGCAAACACAACACGCTTCTTGGCTTGGTTGTGTGAGTGCTTCCAGTCGTTCTGTGATTTGGCCTCCTGTTTTACATTGAGGCACGGTTTCAGAGGCTTCAATTTGTTCACAAAATGTCTTCGTTTAAAATCATCATAAGGGCCCAGGAAGCTCTTCAGAGGTGGTGAATGAGTCAAGCAGAATCTCATGGCCACATCCACCGGCATGACTGAACTTGTCAAAGGCCGTGGATCTAAAACCTGGATCATTCTGGAATGGAACAAAAGAGGAGTTATCATCTACATCTGGAATATTCTCCCCTAAGTGTCAAATACATACTTGCATGTTCTATTTTTGTGCTAACTTATAGTGGGTACAGTAATTATCATGAGGTACTATTATTATATGGTAAAAGAGAAGAGAATTAAGCTATCAAACCTACATACTATGTTTAGCTCTATCCCTGACTGACTACAGGGCTGTGGGTTAATTTCATAAAACACTTGGAGGTCTCAGTTTTCCCATCTGAGAAAGAAAAAGGTTGGATTTGATTATCTCTAATATAGCTCTAAGGAGTTCTGTTAGCATACTGGATTATGAGTTGAGCTGCTAACTGCAAGGTCAACAGTTTGAATCTACAGCTGCTCCATGGGAGAAAGAAAAGGCTTCCTGCTTCTGTAAAGATTTACAGCCCTAAATGGGCCAAGGCACACAACCACAACCACAACCACAACCACCACCACCACTACAGATTGAAAACCCAATTGCTCTGCTCTGGACTAGCACTTCTCTAACTGTCTGCTCACAATAACCCAATAAGCTTGATTTTACTTCTTTTCTTTCTTTCTTTTTTTTTTAAATATAGATTCCTGGGCCATACATTTACTAAGGCAGAGCCTCTGGATGTGGGGCCCAGGAAGTGACTATTTTCTTAAACCTTCCCAGGTGATTCTGATGACCATACAGGGTCAGAACCTCTGGTTCCACACTCTGAGCTCTCGCTAGCTACCTTTGCTGATGTTGGTATAGATTTGCATATGCTTCTCTGGAAAAGTAACCCACTGGAAAAGAAAAAAAAAAAACAACAACTAAGTATTCTCATGAATATATGAAGTATTTTTTGAGTATATGAAGACTGGAAAGATTGAAGTAAGTCAGAGGATCTGCTTTGCACTTAGATTATCAAACACTTCCTCATTTTTCATAAATAAACATATGACCAACAAGTAAGCAACACAGATGCTTAAAGAAATCCTTTACATAATCTATACTCAATATGGAAAGAAGTCCACGACAGGTCCACATTTAAGTCAGAAGGAAAAGCTGATTACCTGAAAGGTAGATTGATTTTGAAATATATATAAGAATAGTCTTGCTGGTCATACAGAGACTGGAGGAACCCCAAAACTATAGCCTTTGGTTATCTTTCAGGTCTGTAACTGAATTCATCCCATTGGCTCTATTACTAGTCAAGCAATGGAAAGATATATAGGAAGTACAACAACAAACATGAGACATGCACACCATAGAATGGTCAACCATTCAAGATCAACAGAGCAGCATTTAGCCAAGGACAAGATTCAGAAGGATTGGGAAAGAAGAATGGAAACGAGAAACATGAAAAGGAAGTGGGATGAGTGATAGTCCATGGAGGGGACTGTAATCACTGAGCTGAAATGAAGTTCATGATTTAGTGAATGTAAAACTAATGATCTGCCCTGTCAACCATCACTCAATTCACCATAAAACATTTTTTTAAATTAGGTTTTGGAATACGATATATATGCATATGTGTTTATACAGTCCACCAGGTTCCTAAGTAAGTTGAGACCTGTTCCTAAGTAAGTTGAATTTACACCTGTGTCAGGACAGGTACATACAGTTCTTATTTATGCTTATTTCAGTGCAAAAAAAAAAAAGGAGACCTCGTGGCACTGAGGCACTGGACAACTAACAGAAGCTGGCAGTTCAAATCCACCAGTTACTCCATGGGAGATTTACAGCCAGAGAAACTCTACATAGGGTCATTATAAGTCAGAATCAACTCAATGGCAGTAGTTTATTATTATTATTATTTAGTGCAACAACAACAACAACAAAGGCTAAAAAAGACTTTTTAACAATTTAAAAGCTTATTGTGCAGCAAGTGAAGGTGATTGTGATGAAGAACAGTTGTGAGTAAGGGTTGGTTTCTAAGTGAGGTTACATACTATTAAAGGGCAAGTATGAGTTGTCAGTAAGATTTGTAACTCAGGAACTTACTGTATATTGTCTTTAAAATATTGGGAGATTTTATAGAAAATACACCAAAAAGTTAACAGTTGTGTCTAGGTGACAATATTATAGGTTATTTTTTGTTTTCCTTGTATTTCTCTGGTATTTCTAATGCTTTGGCAATGGAAATAATTATTTTTATAACTAGACAATAAAGCTATTTAAAATTTTTTAACATAACCACACTCAGAAATCTAAACCAAAAATGTGTCTATCAGGGTTTTTTTTCCTGGCCTTTAGCCACCAAGTTTATGGCATTAGGATTTCTTTTCCTCCTTAGCCTTACAGATAAGAGGTGTGTGTATACTGTACATGACATTCTCAACATGGCTTTAGTAAGTGTTCACAGTAGCTGTAGGCACGTAGGCAAGTGGTTATTATCACAACACTGACAATAAAGAACATTCACAGAATTGATACACTCTGGGATTTTTTCTGGGACACCTACAAGCTTAGAACAAATTAAAGCTTACAGCAATGTTAAAAATAAGGCAGGCCAATTTTTTACAGATGTTTTCTGCTAAGTTAGGCTTGAAAAAGCTATTGAAAGTTGAGTTTGGGTTTTATCTTTTCTTTTTACATTTATAGAATGATGGTTTTTAGTGTTGGGTGATTTCCCTAAAATTTTAGGCCCTTGGCCAAGAGTTAAAAATAATAGTTTTTTCAAACTCTCAGACTAAGTTTGTAAACTGTGATAAGGAAAATGAAGGACGACTAATCAAACGCAAAGAAGGCCTTGCAATTGTTTGGGCTTGGGTTTGATTTTTTGTTTTGTTTCCATGCTAAGCTTCCTAACCTGTTAATGTCAGAGTGACCAGTTGTTCCCACAAGTTAACCCGCCCAAGTTCTCAGGACTTTTGTGCAGGACCAAAAGATTCCGAATCAGTGAGGAAGTCAACAGAAGTCAAACAAAGCCTACATTAAAACCTTTTCTGGTCTGGGATGCTGATTATCAAATTGGCTCTGTCTGGAAGGAATTTAAAAACCAAAAGTCTCTGGATGACAGATTTAACTCGGTAGTCAATCAACTCGCCCTCCGTAGGGCAGGGGCGTGGCAAGCATTAAGAGTGATCAGTGGCAATCTCCAACTTGCGCCCCATCGCCCCCACTTCACAGCGCATAGACGTGGATAGCGGCACAGCCTCAGCGCCTGTCCTATCTGCGGCGCCTCTGAATGTCACTCCGCACGCCGTCTGGCGCCCCCTGACACGTACGCCTGGGGCCAAGTGTCCCCCCTCTCCCCCATCCCTCGCTATGCCTCTGTCCCCGGGGTCTCTGTTTGCAGATATGACAAAACGGACTTCCCCGCTGCCGCGCTTTCCCCTGGGCTCCCGCAACACTCTGCAGCCGCCTACCTGGTGCAGCTCATTAGGCAGAGGTCCGGGAGGACCGAGACAGTCCGCACGCCAGCTACCAGCGCAAGTTCGCACCCCGGTTCCGGGACCTCAACCACCGCAGTCGCCCTGACCGATTGCGGGTTGGGAGAGCCAGCAAGGCAGATTATCTGCTCTGGACCACGTGAACAAACCACTCGGACCAATCGCCGGACCGCTGGCCCAAAGGCACGACCAACCAGCGTCCAGCTGGGGCGCGAGCCCTCGCCAGGGGAACGTGATCACTGCCTGCAGGACGAGCGAAACGCGAGCCCAGAGCCCCCAGCGGGGGGAAGTGGGGAACTCAGCGGCCAGCTGGCAACTGGGCGAAACAGCGCCATCACGCACGTAGCAAAGCTCACCCGGGCCGCCCGGGCGCCAGCTCCTCTGGGCTGCAGGGAAGTAGATGCCCTTTGCCATCATCAGGAGTCTTGTTGCTTGCAAATGTGTTTGTGGTCTCTGCACAGATCCTGAGCATAGAAACTTGGTATGGTTTTCCATTTGGTATTGTCCTTCCATCCTCTCCCTCACCTAGCCTGATTAATCAGAAATTGCTTGCTTTTTGTTTGATTGGAATGAATTCACAAATGCAACAACATAGGAGATAAAAGCTGTCAGGAATGACCAAATTTCTGGTTATGAAAGCATGCATAATTCCATACAATAGTGTGATGACAATATTAATTACAAAAGGTATTTTCTGTTTCAATTTATTTTTCAATATTCTCCTGTAAAATAAAACTAAAACCAGAAATGAAGTGTCCATTTCACTCAACTTAGCCAGTTAGCTATAGAGCATGAATTAACCCAAATCCCTCCAGTGGGTAATGATGTCCTTTGGAAAAGATGTTGAAACTGAAATGTTAAAAACCTCATGCTGTAAGTTTGATGACTCTTCTGAATCAGTTACTTTTGCAGAGGTTTAGTTATTTAGTTTAGTTTAGGGAACTGTGAGATCATCCGTTGTTGTTGTTAGGTGCTATTGAGTCGGTACACAGCGGAATGAAACAACCATCAGTAACAGATACAAAATTTTAAATTTCTAAGTCAAGAAGTGCATTTTTATTCTGCTCAGTTAACTTGATAGCCAGTGTTGGTGGTTGTGATGTGACTCATAGCGACCCTATACAGGGTTTGTTGTTGTAAAGTGCCGTCGAGTCGATTCTGACCCATAGCA